AATACTAAACTTCAGTAATACACATGCCTTCTCCTGTTCTATGCCTCTTACACCTCTCCACCCAGCAAAAATACAGGAATGTCACTGAAGTGGAGGACTTACTCCAGAGAGGTGTAAATCATCTAGTCACTCCACATGAGAAAGATATGACAGTCTGCTTCCATAAATTACAGCCTTGGAAACCCTATAGGGAAGTTCTAAGACAGGGCTAGAGCTGTTTTCTTAAAATCATTATTTCCTCAGGACAGCCCCTCACCAGCCCATTTCCTGAAGTTGTTTTTTTTCCTCAGAACTTCCTTGAAAACAAACAGCCACTGGCTAGCTGAAACTGGCTGAAATGAGTCCTGCCCTCCATCTTGGCACTCCAGATAATCTTTAGCTCATTAACGGCCTCATGCATGGTAAATTCTCTACCCTTGTGTGGAGAGCTAACGTGCTAATGAACAAAAATGTCTAACTTCCTCCTGTGAGGAGAATCGAACCCAGGACTTAGAAAATGCGTACTCATTCTGGAATACTCTGCACCCGTGCGTGTGCCATTTTGTATTTTGTAACTGATCTTGCCTGTATAAACCAGCCTCAGCAAGCTGCCTGTGAGCGGTCTTGGAAGATACTTAGCCCCAGTTGTCTCCTTGCTTGGCCAATCAATAAAGTTGCCTTTTGTTCTCACCAACTCGGTCACTTTCCCTTTGGCCCCAGATGGAGTCATGCCAAGCAGGACCCAGAGTTCCCAGCAACATTTTCTGGCGAGTCAGCCAGGAGTCATCATTTGGTGTTGGAGGTGGATTGGATGGAGGGCCCAACTGAAAGTCCAGTGAGCACCAGGGAATTTCTCCAGGGGACCAGCAGTGTGTCCTTGTGGCTGATACCACCTTAGACCCAAGGGTGACTCCTCCAGGGAAGATGAAATGCTGCCAGTGATCCCCTGGGAAGGAGGACATTTGTTCCTCGGTGAGTAACAACTTTAAAATTGCCTTAACTATGGTCCACATAACGATGTGCTTAGGTCTGATCTGTTTTCCTGTAACTTGTAAAAGTTGCACCAAGGCGACCTTGTAGAGGCTGGCCGGTACTCCAAAATCCTGTAATACCCACCCAGAACTCTTTTTCTCTTCTTTAAATTTTTTTTTATTGTACTTTACATAAAGGTTTACAAAATAGTTTCTCATTAAACGGTTAGTATACATATTGTTTTATGGCATTGGTTAACAACCCCACGACATGTCAACACTCTCCCTTCTCGACCTTGAGTTCCCTATTATCAGTTACCCTGTCCCCTCCTGCCTTCTAGTCCTGGTCTCTAGGCTGTTGTGCCCCATTAGTGTCATTTTGTTTTATGGGGCTGTCTCATCTTTGGCTGAAGGGTGAACCTCGGGAGTGACTTCATTACTGAGCTAAAAGGGTGTCCAGGGGCCCACCCAGAACTCTTAAGGTAGTTCTTCTCTGTTCTTATATCCTGTTTTAAACATGGGTAATTCTGAAAGTATTCCTGATTGCTCACCCTTAGGATGTATTCTGAAAAACTGGCAGACGTTTGGGTACAATCCTATTAGAAACAAAGAAACTTATTTTCCTGTGTAACACAAACTGGCCACAATATAAATTAGGAGATCATGAAAGGTGGCTAGTTAATAGATCCTTATAGCACCATATTGCAGTTAGATTTTTTTTTTTCTGTTCTCATTCAGGAAAGTGGGATGAAAAGTACTATGTAGAAGCATTTATCATCTTGTACAGAGATAAAGATACTCAGGAAAAGTGTAAAGTGTGCGTTCAGACCAAGAAGGGGACTAAACGTCAGAAAAAAACAAAAGTTATAGAACATCTCTGTCATGAATAGAATTATTTCCCCCCAAAATATCTGTCATCTTGGCTAGGTCATGATTCCCCTTAGTGTATGATTGTGTGCCATTTTGTAATCTGATGTGATTTCCCTATGTGTTGTAAACTCTATCACTGTGATGTAATAAGATAGATTAGTGGCAGTTATACTGATGAGGTCTACAAGATTAGACAGTGTCTTAAGCCAATCCCTTTCGAGATATAAAAGAGAGAAGTGAGCAGAGAGGCGGGGAATCTCATACCACCAAGAAAGCAGTGCCAGGAGCAGAGTGAGTCCTTTGGACCTGAGGTTCCTGGGCTGAGATGCTCCCAGACCACGGGAAGACTGATGCACCACAAGGACCTTTCTCCAGAGCCAATAGAGAGAGAAAGCCTTCTCCTGGAGCTGACACCCTGAATTTGGACTTGTAGCCTACTGGACTTTGAGAGAATAAATTTCTCTTTGTTAAGCCATCCACTTGTAGTATTTCTGTTATAGCAGCACTAGATGACTAAGACAACCCCCTTGAGAATTCCCAGACCCCCCCCCCCCAGGGCCTGCGGAAACCTCCACACCGTTACCTTCTGGCTCCTCTTGAGCCCCAGAGACCATCACCCATGCAGGGTCCCTCTGGGAACTCTCTACAGCTCCCCTGCTTGTTACTCCACCACATACACAAAGCATGGCCCCCTATCAGCCATCAGAGTCAGCCTCAGAACAGGGGCCCCAACTGAGTTAGAGCCATCAGGCAGGGCTTTACCCCCTGCAATAGACTCCAGCCAGAGATGCAGGCATGGTTTGGGTACACACTCCTTTTGCCACCAATGACTTATACAAATGGAAGAATAACATCCCAGGGTATCAAGGAGACCCCAAGGATGCATGACTTGTTCACATCTATCTTTCATACCCATAGCCCCAACTGGGCTGACTGTATATCCCTGATGGATACTTTGCTCACATGGTACTTGAGAAAGCTTGTGAAGAAGCTGACAAACATCAAGCTGACCAGGCTCAAAATTGGGCAGCAGCTGACACCATCCCCCCTAGAAACCCTGCTGGGATCCTAATGTGCAGGTACAGCAAAACTTTCTCATTTACTATCATGATTGCCTCCTACCAAGGCTCAAGAATGGAGTCCCAAAGCAGAAGAGCCTCAATAAAGTATATGAAGTTAGACAGAAGTCAGATGAGGACCCTCACTCTTTTCTTGAACGCATCTTTTCAGCTTTCAGATAGTATACTGATCTAGATCCAGAGTCCCCTGAAAATCCTAGGCTGATTAATGCCATTTTCATAGGGCAGAGTACCCCGGACATCCCAAAGAAACTTCAGAAAGTCGAAGGGGGTATAGCCATGTAAATCTCTCCATTGGTTGAGATTGCCTTCAGGGTCTATACAGGCAGGGAAAAAGAGAAAGAAACACTTTCAGAACAGAGGGAAATCAGGTGAGGAAACAGTAGGCTAGTTTCTTTGCAGCTGCCTTGCAAGGATCAGAGGCTTGGCAGGAAGGCCGAAGAGAGAGGGTCTCCCAAGCAGACAAGACCGAAGCCTAGTGATAAACCCCAGTTGAATAGAAACCTGTGTGCCTATTGCAAGGAGATAGATAGGACACTGTAGAAATGTGTGCCCCAAGAGACCACACAATAAGTGCCCATTGGGTGTGAAGAAACCTCTGGGAGCAGCCCAGCTCCCAGCCATGGCATACTCTGAGGATGTTATTACAAGACTTGTTTTGTAAACTGCAGGCTGAGATCTCATTTCAGAATGGAGAAATGCATGTGAACGTGCCAGTGGAGCAAGGGTGGCAAGCCCACCTCATGCTGTGTCAGCCAATACCTGTGCCAGCCAACCCATGGGGCCCTCTGCCCTTCTTAAATGAAGGACTCAACCCTGAGGTAAACCCCGAGGTTTGAGCAGCAGGGACCCCTGGGAAGATGAAAAATGCCACTCTGGTCACAGTACAACTGCTGCCTGGGTTTGTCTCACCCTGGCTAAAACAATACGCCCTCAGGAGAGAGGCCAAGGGGACCATTGAAAAGCTAATTCAGAAGTATGTAGCTTTCAGTCTCCTTAGGCCTTGCCAGTCAGCTTTCAACACCCCAATCTTACCTGTGAAGAAGAAGGACAGAAGCTACCAGTTTGTGCAAGACCTCTCAGCTAACAACCAGGTAACTGTGACTATCCATACTGTTGTACCCAACCCTTACACCTTCCTATCAGCGCTATCACCAGTTTTTAAGTGGTTCACAGTGTTAGACCTGAAAGATGCTTTCTTCTGTATTGCCCATGAACATAAAAGCCAAGAGATTTTTGCCGTCGAATAGGAAGATCCTAATACTAGGCTAAAATAGCAATTTTGTTGGACTGTGTTTCCCCAAGTGTTCAAAAAGTCACCAACCCTTTTTGGTTCAGCTCTTGCCAAAGACTGTGAGGACTGAGTCTTAAAAATGACTTGTTATTGCAATATGTGGATGACCTGTTCATAGATAGCAAAACACAGTTTGACTCAGATGAAAATACTGTGACGTTTTAAATTTCCATGCAGAAGCAAGACATAAAGTCTCTTGAGAAAAAGCACAGATTATTGAGAAAAAAGGTTGTTTATCTAGGGTTTATCATTCAGGCAAGGCAGAGAGAGTTGCAACCTGAAAGAAAGCAGGCCATTTGTCAGTTAGCAGCCCCCACCACAAGAAAGCAGCTACGGGGGTTCCTAGGCATGGCAGGTTTTTGCAGAATCTGGATCCCTAATTTTGGACTTTGAGCAAAACCCTTTATATAAAGTTCTGGAAGGCAAAGAAACTGATCCATTCCAGTGTACAGGAAGTTAGCGGAGAGCCTTTGACAATATTAAAAAGGCTTTACTTGAGGCCCCTGCTCTTGGGCTCCCTAATGCTCATAAACCTTTTGATCTGTTTGTCCATGAAATTGGAGGAATAGCTGTCTGTGTCCTCACTCAAATCCTAGGATCTTGGAGGCGACCTATAGCATACTTTTCCAAAAAGCTGGACACCATTACCAGAGGGTGGCTATCCTGCCTAAAAACTGTGGCTACCACAGTTTTCCTTGTTAAAGAAGCAGAAAAACTCACATTGGGCCAGACTTCTGAGTCTTTGTTGCTCATGCAGTCACCACTGTCCTTGAACAGCGGGGTAATCATTGGCTATCGACTAGCAGGATAACCCAGTACCAGGCAGTGCTATTAGACAACCCTGCAATCCAGCTTCAAAAAACCACCTGTTTAAATTAAGCCACTCAGTTACCAACCTTGCCTCAGACAGGACCCATCCATGACTGTGTGCAGACCCTTGACCTTGTCTATGCCAGCAGCCAGACTTGCAGGATCACCATATTAATGATCCTGAACTTGAGCTCTACACAGATGGAGGCAGCTTTGTTGAAAATGGACAGTGAAAGGCTGATATGCTGTGGTCACTCTGGATGAAGTCCTAGAAGCACAAGCCCTCCCCATCGGGACTTCAGCTCAAAAAGTGGAGCTCATCACCATGACCCAGGCCTTAAGACTGGCGAGAGGTAAAGTGGTCAATGTATATATGGGAGCCAGGTATGTTTTTGGGGTTGTACTTTGCACACGGGGCCCTGTAGAAGCAGAGGGGACTTTTGAACTCTTCAGGACATGAGATTAAGCATAGTCAGCAGATCCTTCAACTACTGGAGGCTATCTTGCTCCCTCTAATGGTGGCTGTAATGCATTGCAACGGGCACCAAAATGAAGACATTTCCGTGTCGCCTGGCAACCATAAGGCAGACCAAGCAGCTAAAGATGCCGCCAAGACTCAGAAACCAGACGTAGTGGTGCCTTTGGTTCCCCAGCTAACGTTCCACTCACAAGATCAATCACACTACAGTGAAAAGGACAGGTATGTGGCAGAAAATTGGGGCACCACAGAAAAGAAAAAGGGCTGGTTATACACCCCAGAAAGAAAAGTTTCCTTCCTGAGACTCTAGTCACCCTGGTCCTATGGGAAGCCCACCAGTCCACTCACTATGGGCGTGACACTCTGTATGACTGGATAAAGAGACCTTTGATTGGACAGGGAATTTACAAGGCCATAGAGACCATAGTATGACAGTGCCAAGAATAAATCCCCAAAACAGAGTCATTGCCCCCCCTGGGGCCCAGCAAAAAGGGACACAACCTGGAGAAGACTGGCAGGTAGATTTCACCGAGATGCCCAGAGCACCTGGAAATTAAGTATTTACTGTATTTGTAGATACTTTCACCAACTGGATTGAAGATTTTCCATGCTGAACCAAGAAGTTCACTGAGGTAGTCAAAAGACTCCTAGAAGAAATCACGCCAAGGTTTGAGTTGCCCTGATCCATTGGAAGTGACAATGGGCCTCATTTTATTGCAAAAATTACTCAAGATGTGGTGACTGCATTGGACATCAATTGGAATCTGCATTCAGCCTGGAGACCCCAATCCAGGGGAATGGTCAAAAGAGCTAACCACCAGCTCAAGAGGTACATAGCAAAACTGTGCCAGGAAACTAAACTAGTTTGGATTAAGGTCCTCCCCAAGGCTCTGCTTTGGTCCCGGGTTGCCCAAGGTCCAAATTAAAAATCAGTCACTTTGAGCTGATGTACGGCCATCCTTTGCTAAAGAACACTGAGATGGAAACCCTGGAATCATATGGCACACCCCTAGATTTGGAAGCCATCTCCCTACATGAGAAAGGTACCCAGTTCTTAAAAGAATAGTTACAGTCTCTGTCGGGTATGTTGTATTCTCTCTGCAGGCATGCTCATCTCTGCGACCCCGATCTAGCACCTGAGGTCCCTCTGGACTCCATCCAGCCCAGTGACTGCGTCATGATCAAAACGTGGAAGTCTGATATCCTACAGGAAAAGTGGACTGGACCCTTTGAAGTTCTCCTCACCATCCCTACTGTGGTCAAAGTCAGTGGAATGAGCACCTGAATTCATCATACCAGAATCAAAAAGAGCCCGCTGCCAGACGTCGAAGGACAAACTTCCCAAAACCAGGAAAATTGGACTTTTACCACTGTAGAGGACCTTAAGTACATGTTTCATTTGTATCCCTAGTATGACGGTAAGTGCCACTGAGGTCTTAGGGGTAAGCTTTGCTTGTGCCCTCCTCACAGTATTTATTTTGAATTTCAATTGTGTCATTCCCCTGTTTGAATAACTTCTGCCAACTGACGTTAAGTAACAATACCTGCCCCAAACCCTGACCCTACAACGACAACTCTTCAGGACAACTGAAACTGAGTTGTTACAAGACCTAAAGTATCTGTTTAAGAGACTCTGAGTTTTCAACCCATAGAATATGGGTTTATTCTTCAATGTTTGAATTCTGTTAACTCTGATTTTTGCTTTCCTGTTCATATTTCACCTGTTTTAGGATAGTAGGCCTCTTAAGTTAGAGCTTGATTCATGCAAATATGAAGCTGTGGTACCTCATCTTCATTCTTCTCCTAACTCTGCCCCTTACATGATCTTGGCAGAAAAATGCTTTTGTCAAATTGGCCTGATAAGTAGCAGGTGCAACAACGTGACTAAACGTTGAATTTGCCACCCAATGCCAAAATCAACCTATGAAAATTCTGACCCACTGGCAGTTCCAGTGTACAACTATAGCCTAGTTCCTAATGCCACCATCAACCTTACAACAACCTCTAACCAAGCTATACATGTCAGACTGTGGCACCCTGGAGCCTGGGTACCTTGTTTTAACCTAACTCAACATTCCTGAGTAAATGACACTGAAAAGGCAAAAAGAAATTTCTCCCACTATGAGAATGGAGAGTGGAAATTCAGCAACTGTATTAATTGGATGACTGAACACCTAGTAATCCTCAATTTATCCAGTAGCTTATAGGTGGGCTATGGTACATATAGGCTATATAGACTTAAGGACAAATCCCAAACCCAAACCACCTATGTACAGCCAGTTGTATGCACCCACTAGCTGGGGGTTTTTATCTGTGTGCAACAACTCAGTAAGTGAGCCAGGCCTTAATCAGATGAACCAGACCATTCCCTTTTCCAAATAATGACAGAGGAACAGATGTACTTTGTGTCCCTTCAAGTTATGCATTTCTGTGTAAAAGTGCAAGGCATCCAGAATTCCTAACCCAAAGCCCAACTCCAAAACCCTATGCCTGGGCAATCCAATGTTTAGATGGTTGGAAAATGACTGGACAATATACTCTGGGACATCTTGGTGTACCTTTTGATATCTATTGGTATAATGAGAGCATACATGGGGCAACTAGTTTAGACCTGACCAGTTACCACTGACAAAAGAGAGCCCTCAGTCTGTGGGGAGAAGATTGTAGTCAGTCTGGTTGACACCACCAAATCGGCGAGTACTCAGGAGAAGGTTACTCTTTCCTCAGATCTGTCATTTAGCCAATGGGAATTGCACAACTTGAAAGCTCACTTAGAAATAAGTCAGTAACCACGGAAGGAATCATCCAAGATGAGGTTATGACCTTTTGGGCCCAGCAAATTCCCTTAACTCCCTAGTTAAAGTAGTCCTAGACAACTGCATAGACCTTGATTTTATTTTAGCTCAACAAGGTGGAGTCTGTAAAATTAACACCTTGTGCTGTGTATGGATAAACACCTCCAGCAAGGTGGAACTAAATCTATAGAAGCTACAACAAAAGACAACTTGGCTACACATTGTTACAGATGACTTTAAAGGACTATATGACTGGCTAATGTCATGGCTTCCTAAATTTATACGGCTCAAAAACCTTTTTGGTCTCATTTTCCTCTTTCTTGGGTCGGACTAACTATACTCTTTCTTGTCTGCGTGTTTGGACCCTGCCTCCGAAACCTTCTACCCAAATTCCTTACTAAAAGACTAAGCTCTATCAAGCTTAATATGGTCCTGACACAAAAGCCAGTCTATCAAACCACACCACCAACCTCACCTTATGATCTTAGGCTAGAAGCTATCCAACAGTTCCAAGAGGGAGAACCCTAAATTTTTAGAGCTTCCGCATTCCAGTTCACTGCCCCTTCTCAGCAGGAAGGAGTTCTAAGAGTCATCATCCTTTCTCCCTTTTCCTAATCTTGCCACTAACTAATAACTGTTAGTGTCAAAAAAAAATGGAAGGAATAAGGCAGGGCTAGAGCCATTTTCTTAAAATAATTGTCTCCTCAGGACAGCCCCTCACCAGCCCGTTTCCTGAAGTTGTTTTTTGCTTCAGAACTTCCTTGAAAAGAAACAGCCACTGGCTAGCTGAAACGAGTCCTGCCCTCATCTTGGCACTCCAGATAATCTTTAGCTCATTAACTGCCTCATGCATGGTAAATTCTCTGCCCCTGGGTGGAGAGCTAACATGCTAATGAACAAAAATGGCTAACTTCCTTCTGTACAGGGAATTGAACACAGGCCTTAGAAAATGTTTACTCATTTTGGAATACTCTGCATCTGTGTGCCTGCCATTTTGTATTTTGTAACTGATCTTGCGTATATAAACCAGCCTCAGCAAGCTGCCTGCAAGCGCTCTTGGAAGGCACTTAGCTCTGATTGTCTCTTTGCTTGGCCAGTCAACAAAGTTGCCTTTCGTTCTTCCCAACTCCGTCTCTGTCTTTTTGGCCTTGGACAGAGTCATGCTGAGCAGGACCTGGAGTTACTGGTAACAGTTCTACCCTGTCCTATAGGGTTGCTTTGAGTTGGAACTGACTTGATGACAACAGGTTTGGGTTTTGGTTCATCCCAAAACTACCTAGAGCACCGATTGAGAGCTTGCTATATGCCAGGTAGGGTGCTAAACGCTTGGAAAATATTATTCCAATTGATTTTCACACAACAGCTTATGTAATAGTTATCAATACCTGCATTTTATTGATGAAAATACTAAGAGGAAGCAATCAATCCAAGGTGGCAAAGAGGATAACTGGCAGATTTAAACCCAGGTCTGCCAGACTTCACTGACGTTGTCACTGTTCTAGTGGCATCTAAGTCTTGATGTGTTCCAAGAGCCTCCAAATCAATGTCCAAGGACCAGAAAGCAGAATCCCAGCTGCCAGAAATGTCACCTGCAGCTGCTTTAGACACAGAAGTTTCCCGTTATCAGTCCCACATTATAAGCAAGAATGGACATGAGTCAGCAGAAATAATTTTCTATCAACTGTTAAGAATAAATGTTTTACTAAATGGTTCTTCTGGGAGTCCAATTTAGCCTTAATCCTAGAATTCTTCAGATGTGGGGAGGGGGAGGGGGCCCACTGCTTAGCCCAGGCTGAAGAGATTTATTTTCTCCAGTCCCTAAAGTTTTTTCTTGATCCTACTTCCACAGAACCCGGTTGTGCAAGCTCCCCAAAGCCAGGAATTCCTCCTGTCTCTGCTCATACTCCTTCCAGTAGTGGACAAGATAGACAGGAGCCATTTTCACCTTCAGTGGTGCTGAGGAGCTTAGCATTGTGCATAGTGCACGAGTTGGGGGTGGGGATAGACAACATCAGAATCTCAGGGCAGGGAGGTACATGTCATTTTAATAAGTATATTAATAGAGTTAATATAATGCACTTGAAGAAAAAAACATAATTGCTTTCTTAATACAAACTGCACAAAGTAAAACCAAAACTAAACCAAACTTGTTGCCATCGAGTCGATTCCGACTCATAGCAATCCTATAGCAAAATCATCTCACGTAGAGATATCAGTAAACTACCAACCCCCTTCTCAGCCAGGGTCAAGGAGGTGTATAGGGGATCTTCTTAGTGTTGTCAAAACCAAGAACAAAAGAAATTAAAGCATATAGGGTTGATTCAAGCAGTTCATCTGTATGCATACAGATAGCCCTCTCAGAAAAGTAGGAGAGCTCATTGTAGGCTACTTACAGTGAACTTTTAAGGAGAAAAGAGAGGAAATACAAAGTAGAAAATTAAACATTTGGCTACCCTTAGCATAATTAAATCATGCTCTTTTCCTTCCTGAGGCCACCAGGTGGTCCTTGTGGCCTGGCCAGCACCCATTCGTTTGTAAAACGAAAGCGTCTCAATTACTCAGGAAAATCCAAAGGTTTAGAACTATCTTTTCAGGAACAAGGGCTAAAACTAGATTACTTTCAGTAAAGTTAAATTCTTTCTACAAGGTAAACATTAAGCAAGTCCATGGTTAACAAACGTCTTATCACAGAGAGGTTTGTGTTATTTTATGATCACTGTGTCTCCTTTGTTCCTGTTGACTGTTCTTAGGTGCATTCTACATTGGTCAGAGGCCTTTGTGAAATTTCTAAGCACTCAGAAGAATCTGTCAATCTGGGCTTCAGTTTCTCTTTTTTAAAACAATATCTCCTCCTCTTTGTCATACTCTCCGGGATACTAAGAGCTTGACCAAAAATCTCCATCACTTAGTGGAGATCTTCATGAAGTAGTCTGATGTCTGATCTGATCTTGTTTGTGTCTGTTGTCTGATGATGGTGGATATGATTTGTAGTCTTAGCGGCTGTTCACATGCATTTAAGATCCTTGAGATTATACATTTTAGAAGGGTGATTACATTGATAAGGACTAAGAGAGCAATACACAAAATTTGGAAGATTCCTTTAAGCCAAGGACCCAGTGTTGAGATTTAGACAAGAGAATAAATCCCATGGAGTTTCAGTTTTCACTTTGGCCAATTTGGCAGCTTCTTGTGCCTGAGCTTTACTTGCTACTACACTTTCGTAAATTTCATGCTGGGTATCATTTATGTACACACAGCATTGTGACCCAATCAGAGCACAAACACCTCCCTGTTATGTCACCATATAATCTAGAGCTAGTCTATACTGTAAAGTCATTTTGCGAATTACTAAAAATTCTTTGGATAAGAAAAGATGTCTTGCCCAAGTTAGACATTGAATTTTCTAGTTCAAATACTACCTTGTGTAGTATTATTTGTAATCTTAAAGTGTATCTTCCAATGCAAGAAAGGCCAGCTACTGTGACTAAAGGAGCTATTCCCA